ATCCAGGGTTCCAAAGGTCCAGGGGGAAGGTCTCTCACACTTGTACTCGTCTCCACGTCCAAACTCACACACATTCACACAGCAGGAAGGTCACAGGTCCAGGGAGGAAAACTATCACACAGGAGAGAGAAATTATTCAAAAGTCACAAAATACTCAAGCATGGATTCACGGGAGCTGAGAGGATCACTAACGTGTCTCGCACAGTCATCCAGCGATGAGAAGGTCTGCGTCCTGGCCTTAAGTAGTGGACAGGTAATGACAACTAAACGTGAATGGGTGTGTGGGCCAAGGGGGGGAGCCCACAGTGAGCTCCGCCCAGGCAGAGCGGTGAAGGAGAAAGAAAGAGAGAGAGACAGAGAACACAACACACATGCAGCCTTGCGGGGCCGGCTGGGTAGACACGGGGACCATAACACAGAGACTGATAGCAAACTGACTCCGGGTGTTAGCGACAGCATTGGTATGCTTGGCAATCTCATTTTGCATTAAAAAAAAAATACGGTGAAATAGCTATCTTATTGGATAGAATAGATAGTGACAAAATTTAACTATGAGGAAAATTTAAAAGGTGATAAATGTATATAAAAAAAAGTCACAGATATATAAATATGTTTGTCACCTGTTTTTCTCTCTCTTCCTCTCTCTCTCCTCTTCTCTATCGCGGGGGCGGAACTCACTGTGGGTTCACGCCCTCGGCCCACGCCCTTTGGATCACTAAGATGATCAGCATTTAAGCCAGGAGGTGACTGCTGTTCGTCGCTGGATCATTGTCTACCACCACGCGTTAGTGAAGCCAAGCTACAGCAAGTAAAGTTAAGTATGCTTCCTTTGTGCCTTGTATTTAACCTCGTCTCCCTGTCCACTGAGCTCCCTGGAATGCCCCCCCCCCCCGTATGATTCCCGAGTGGCAAGTGTTGGAGTGAGAACCTGTGATCGCGTGTGAACGCATGCTTTTCCCCTGGACTTCCCTGGAGCCCCTTCTCCCTCACGCAACTGTACATAGCACCCCCCCCCCGCACCTTCTTGTATATACACCTGGTGAATTGTAAATAAATCTTTCTTGTGTGC